AAGAATTTTAATGGGTTCCATCTAAATGGAAAGTATAGACATTAACCAGTTCAATTAAAAAGAAACAAATCGGTCAAAAAAGGTAACAAACATAAAAAACAGTCCAATTGAGAACCTCGTCGTTTTAAAGTACGTTGTATATAATAAAAATGTAAAGCCATATCATGTATAGTTTACACTGTCGAAGTAGTACTTCTTAATTTTTTTATTTTTACATGATGCTATTGTTTATTCATTTATTCACTGGTCATGCACACATCATGCACTTTTGGTGCATTGCGGACTTAATGCCTAAGTAAGGCATTATCTACCGTTCAACCTTTGGGAGATGCAGAGAGAACAGGACGTAGGTGCATTTTGGTTAGAGTTTGTTTGTAGTTATAATATCAAATACGCGTACATGAACCTATCATGCACTAGAACCAATACAAATTATACATACGTACATACACATATACATACGTAAATACACAATAAATACAACAAACATACAATAAATCCATACATACCTAAATAAATACCATTAATAATAGTAGATGACAATCATACGTCAATTGATTCTGCCAGTTATTTTACAAAATACTGCCACACTTTAGTTTTGAATAAGAAAGTGTTGGTGGCCATCCTGACCTCGATTGGAAGCTCATTCCAGAGACGAATGGACTGCACACTAAATAAACGAAGAAGAAGGTTATTAGAGGACCGTAGGTTTCTGTCGTGATTACTACATAAAAGTTGGAAGTAGGAGTTTAAATATTTTGGCGAAGATGGGTTGTTTAAGATAGAATATAAAACAGTGAGATCGCGTAGTTTTCAATTTCAAATTTCTATTGAGCTGCGAACGGAAAGCGGATACATGATCAAATTTACTGAGATTATTAACAAATCGAATGCAGTTATTAAGAAGACCGGCTAATTTATTGAGACGATCTGCATTCGGGTCATAGCAGCACACATCACCATAGTTGATGATCAACTTGCTTACGCCGATTTAGTTGCAATTGAGGTGTAAGCCAAGATCTTTCACCGATTGACAAACAAAAATGGTAGTACCGTTAAAAATAATAGCCGGAATAGTCTCAATGTCTACTCTGCTCGCCAATCAGTGACTTCCAACTACAATGTGAGGGGTGTAGGGTTTACTGTTAAACCAAACCTTTTAGATCACGCATTAATTGTTTCCAGGTCTCTGTTTAACATGTCTATGGTCAAAGAAATATCCTCAACCTTGGTCTGCAAATAGGGTTGAAGGTCATCGGCATACAGATGATACGCACTATTAAGAACAAGGGTTAGGAGATTTGTATACACAGAAAATAATAAAGGGGAAAGAATAACGCCTTGAGGGACACCAGAGTCGAGATCACACCAGCTCGAAGAAGATTCATCGACTCAAACAGACTGATGGCGTTCCTGAAGATAAGATGAGAACTATTCCAGTGCTTCAGACGAGACCACAAGATGGGAAATGATAGATAAGAAGATATCGTGATTGAAGGTATTGAAAGCATTTGAGAATTCGATCGCGCTGCTCAAATGCTTTCAATACCGACTCGATTGCTGACTCGATTGCGCTGTTCTGTGTGACATCCATAGTTCCGCGTTACGCTACGTTCAGTGTTTTGTGCTACGAAATATAACATTTTCGTAGCAGTCTAAGTGCCTGTTGTAGTACGTAGGCAGATTTCTTGTATTTCTGACACTTAAATTTATAAATTTAAAACAACTAGGTAAACACATTATATAGTAAAATATACTTAACTATTACTTTAACACATACCAAAGTCAAAATATCTGTATTTCATAAAAAAAATATATCAACACACATAATAGCAACAATCTGTTTGTCAAATATTTATCACACAGTTCCTTTACTGTAAATTGGTTCAACTTACCTAAAAGGGGCTTATTTTTTTTTATATTGGGACTAATCCCACCCACACGCCCACCACTGTAACTCCTGTACACCAGGATCCACAGCAGTGACCCACGAACACACCGAGTTATGACACTCGGGAAGTCCCAGGAAGAAATTAAACTGTCTTGGAACCCGCAACGAAATTAATCAGAAGAAAATTGGAGGAGTTGGAAATACAGTAAATCCACTTCCCTCCTTAGCAAAGCGGGAGACAAAATGGCTTAATGAAAAGGGGCTTATTGCCGAATAGCGGGCAATTGAGAATTATAGGAGAACATAGGTAGTATATTTAAAACTAAAGGTTTGTTGAGGAACGGTGTAATGTCCCTACAACACAAAGGGAGAATCCTTCGACCAGGCGAGGTGATCATGTTGGCGTACCGCGGTCCAAGGTCTGTTGAGAGAAGAAGAAGTTATATAGGTATACGCTATTCGACGTCAGACTTTTTTATACAGCGATATAGGATTAGCAGTGACTCCGTAGTTCGGTGTTACTTCGTTAAATGGCTGAACTATACTGAAGTATGTTTTTGTTTCACTGTGTTTAAGTCGCCACAGGTAAGGAAGATCCCTTCTTCCGAAGGGATCTCCGAGGGAAGTCCGAGTTCTTTAACTTTTACTACAATTAAAGTCATTATATGAGATAATTACAATTAAAATTTAATTAACATAACTGACATAAGTACACATCCCGAGAAATGAAATCTAGTTCGATATAAACGTGTAATTAAATCCAATCCAAACAGGGACACACAAGCCACACTATTGAATATTCATGTAACGGTACTATCGTAAACCGTCATGTCCAATACGCGCCGTGTAAGCATACATACGCAATTAATTAATTGTCAACCAGCGTTAGGCAACATCTGGGACATAGACCGGCGATTAAATTTTATGATCGCACCAGATGTACGGGCTTGTTAATGGCCACATGCATCCGAGACGCGTTTGCCCGAATTTCAAATGTCGTTCGAAATTTGAATGCAGTGTTTTGCATCCATAACACTAAACGCAAAACTGTTTTTAATGAGATTTCTAGCATTTTAGGAATACATCGTTATAGGTCTGTAATCAATTTGTATGTTATATTTATATAACTTTGTATCTAAAAATCCCTAACTATTTTCATAAAAATGATAAAACCAATATCTTAAGCCTAATTTAAGGACATGTCTTAATAAATTGATCACATCATCATCATCATCAACAGCCTTTAATACTATACTGATGGACATAGGCCTCTTCTTAGAAGGGAGGTTTTGGCCTACTATACCACGCTGGCCAAACGGGTAGGTAGAGGGATTGTGTCAAGTTTTACTTCTTTTGCAGTGCTGTTGTCCTGCGTAGTTTGCTCCCTTAGTCGGCTCTTATGACACCCGTGGGTGTCATAAGAGCCTACTACCGACCACCGACAATAGGGGTTGTGACATTCCGTATTCTTAACCCGTTACCATACGGATGATAACGCTAAATGCCTTGTTGCAGATTTGTTGTTATGTTATATCATCAACAGCCTTTAACAGTCCACTGCTGGACATAGGCCTCTCCTTAGAAAAGAGGTTTTGGCCTACTATCGTTATATCGGTAGTAGGTAACTGAAAGCATTATTACAATTTTATTTTATTTTTAAAATGTTATTATTGATGGTGGTGGAGATAGAACCATACATATGTGTTTTAACACTTCACAACTTGGTAGAACAAAACAGAAATAATAATAAGAAAAACCTTTCATGAGATAATTCATTCTTGGTAGATAACTTTCTGCCTTTATTAAAACCGTGTGTAACCCATCCCAATATGTAAGTAAAATATATGTATTTAATACGCGTGAATAAAAAGTGAAAAATGAAGTTAAATGGAGTTTATTAACTATTGTAAAGTGCTATACTATAGTTACTACTAGTTGTTTGCCCTTTCTTCTCATAAGGCTCAACCCCTTGGAAACGGGCGGTTGTAGATCGGCACAGGCATATCATAAATTTTGTATGGGTTTGATTTTGACAAAACAGAGATAGTTGCTTGTGTGTGTTGACCTTAGAGTCTACATAAAAGTCGGTTTCAAACAATTAAAAAAAAATGAAATAAAGAGAGTTTGAGTTTATGCAACAAATATATTACTATAACATAAAAGAAAAAGTTTGAAAACAAATTGTTTTTTTCTGATATTATGAAGTCGAATACTTGTTGGATCCATTAGTGGTAAATATCAAATCTATTGTTATCAGTACTAAATATCAGTACTATATAAATGCATCGAAAGCAATCAATAACATATATACGTATGAATAAGGTAGGTACGTGAAAGCTATTATATTAGACCATTAGTAGCAATGCAGTTCCAGTTGCGGGTTCCGATCCAATTACTTCGTAAAAGCTGGGATACTAGCGCTGTGAATAATTCTACATAACTTAAATAGCTTCAAAATAGTTAAAAAAAATCAAGCCTACACTACAATTCACTTACACTGTACAGTCCTACTTTGATTCTAAGTCATCATTATCTTGCCCTTTTACCCAACTTTATTGGGAGTCGGTCCAATGTGTGACATCGCAAGGGGCCTTGGCTGGTTTCTTTTATGGCCAGCCGCCTGTCTGACGCCAACCTTCTTAGAGAATGTAATCGTTTTCAAGCGGGATAAAGAAACAGATAAATTAGGATACAGAGAACATATAGGGCGTGAGAGCTCAAGTAACAAATTTTGAAAATGACTAAGGCTGCAGTAGCTCGAAGGGGCGCTCGGCACTCGAAGGGCCACTAGAACAGCGAAATCTTCTGGTCGCAATGATGATGATCCTGTACTGATTTAAATACCATCTATCAGTTTCAAATTTAAATATGATTGATTTATTAAATTCGAGTGAGTTAGTAGTGAACACATTGGAGTGAAGACGAAAAACGCTTAACTGTTTGCTCCATGATAGATATAATTTCTGACAATTAAACGTGTAGAAGAGAAAAGTGAGAGATTTTCAATTATTTTTTAAAGTAAATTATAATTCTTAACCAAACTGCTCTTAGTAACTATCCACTCACAATACTTTAGCATAATAATTCTAAAACTTACTTTCCCTTACAGATAACTTCCAAGGTGACATCGCGATACCTAGTGTAGACTACAGAAAGCCTCCCAATAGCGCGCCAATAACAAAAATTAACAAATCACTCCAAGAAGAAGTAGAAAGGCTTAAGAAAGAAGTACTTCTGGAAGGACTGCAGGTGGAAGAGGAGGGCTTACCTGATATTCTGAGAAAGAGAACGAAGCAACCAATACCATTATCCCAGGATAAACCGAAGAAGTACAACGATGCTGTGTTAATGTCGAAGGTACGTAAGTCCTATAGCAGCTCAACCCATGTGAATATTTCGACGGGCTTGTTGGTCTTGGGTTCATTTCCCACCCAGGACAAATAACGATCATTTGTTCTGTGTCTGGATATTTTATTTATAAAATGTATGTCTTTTGAAATTTATAAGAATGTTTATCAGACGTCTGATTGGATGGTCATGTTTAAGAGTGTAAAGTTTTTTTATTATTATTATTATTATCTCCACATTCCTCGAGGAGCTTTGTATTGTATTTAAGTTGGTAAGAATGTAGATATGCAAGTGAAGTCACAAAAATTACCTGCATAACTGCTACTTTAGGAGGTAGATTTATACGCCACTAGCAGGCGGTCGCGATGATGTTTTAAATTTAAGTTAATAAAAATCTGTTTTTATCCCAATTCCTTAATCGCTGTCTACTTCGTGAGTCAAACAATAAAAAAACAGAGATTATATCATAAATTCTCAACGTTCGCAACCTTTTTAGTTGTCTGGAAAAAATAACTATTCTGGCGAGATAGTTAACTAATTTTCAAAAATGTACATCAATTGGTAAAGATAATGATTTCTCCTATTTAAAATTACTATAGATCGCCTGGTGGTTGATTAGTATTGGCCAGTATAACTTCACCTGTCGTTATATATGCAATGACAGTTATTACTTACGTATCATAACATGTCAACACATATATAAAGCTTGACTTTTTACGTTCATTTTATATATTTAATAGATCCTGTATAAAAAAGCATAATAATTTTAAAAAAACTCTTTTTTTTTTCTGCACTTCTCTCAAATGTAAAAATTGTAAGTGTAAAAGTGTACATATATTAATTTTTATGTAGATTACCACGGGAATAGAATCTTTTGTACACATTTTCATCGAAATATTACTATAGATTATTTACAATCAAGATTACTGATATAAATTAATTAACAGCATAGGCTCTAAACATTTATTTTGTAACATTTTTATTAGAATTCACAAATACTCAAATACACAAATCAATAATTCTAAAAGATAATTTTCCTATTTTAAAGGCAACTTTGATATTAACCATTAAAGTTTTCATTTAAGAAACTTCCGCCCGTCACTTTGATCAGTTCCCGAACCTAAAAGATGTCAAAAAAAGTATTCAAGTATGTCAATCATCTGTCGCTGGCACTTACTTCGTTTAATAACCACCTGTGTGCAAATTTTAAAGGCAGTTTTAAAAAAAACTAAATATTTTTTACATTGCAGGTTTTACCTCCAGGATTTGATAAATCTTTTTTATTAAAAAATGGTAAACTACCTACAGAAGAGATATTAGGTATTTTAACAAATACCTCAGTTAATGAAAACCACACCAACCATACGGTACAGAACAACCTCACCGAGTCTGAGAGTTTAGAGCAAGACGGAGTTTTAGTAGTTAAAGTGTCCACTGATAACATTCTTAACTTAGATGAGTTATATCCTCATATTCAAATATCTAATACGTCAAACAAAATGGATGAAATCACTAATAAAATCCAGAGTAACAGTAGAGAAATAACTGGAGATTCAAATAATAATTTAAAATTAAAAGGCTTACCAGAAAATATAACTATAGCGCCTGCTCCAACAAATGGTTTTTTATCAACAAGTGATCAAGATGACGATAAGTTGATAAACAAGACAGACTTAGAAGCTGAAGGAAAATTAGTGGAACCAAACCTTTTAAGGCCTACAGAAAGTCTTCAAAATTTGATGGAGGGCCCTGCTAGACGAAACGTTCGTCGGAGAAGACGGAGACACGGTAATGGAAGACGGTATGGTTTCTAATACTTTTGTTGACTATTATTTTATAATTCTAGTAGTATTTAAACATACTTTCTACTTATATCGAGTATTTCATGTTACATATTATGCAAGTTTCGTGTAAACATCTCAACTCTAAGCAGTCTGCAAATTCATAATTATTATTAAGTGAATAGTGGTTAAGGTACTTCAAATATATAAAATTACTGATCCAGCATAAATAGCCTTAGATCAATCTTAATAACTTAGAAAGTTTAGTTTAGAAATATATAAAAAATAGTTAAATTAAAAAGCGAATAAAGATCAAGTCCACTCATTACAAGACTCAATAAAAGCATTCTAATAAAAGTTCATTAGTTTCTGCTCGAGTTCGCTGCCCATTTTTTACTTACCAAAGCCAAAGGATCGGCACTATTGAAGCTTATGAAAAAGCCACGTTCCGTAATTGCACTGGCTCAAGCTTCCTTTGCGACTGCGTCTATGTTATGAGGAGACGTAACTATATTTTTGGATTGAAAAGGAAAAAAATATATATTCATATCATTATATATAATTCATTCAACACATCAAAAAATTAATGAATAAAAATTTAAATTACGCCAATACCAATATTCCCACCACGATTAAAAAAAAGCTGACGTACTACTAAACAAATGTTCTAGAATAGGAGAACTGTCGATCAAATCATCTTACAAACAAAAAACTAAATCAAAATAAGTCCATCTGTTTAGGAGTTTTGATGCCGACAGGCACAGAAACATTACAGTACTTTTGTTATAAGATATGTATCATAAATACACCGTTCAATCGTCGGTGGTTCACTCGCAATTAAAAGAAAAAATATAAATTCTGTAAGACCGAACTTAATATTTGTATACCACCCACCGATGGGGTGATTATGTCGGACTCAAACCAACTAAAACCGCACGCCACCGCCGTCTTGGGTACCCGGAAGCCCCGGAACTAGGTGCACCCTAGAATCCCTGGTACCTGGTACTAGTTGTAGATGATACCAACGTATACTCACGAAACCGCGTGCGCGCTCTTCAGTACGTCGCACCTCCACCCCAGCCTGCTTTTACTAGGATGACAGATTGCATCACGTGTCACCCCCAGGACTGAGCTTATGGAGGAAGGAGGTGGTTACCGTTACCTGACCCGTTCCCGGCCCTGGCGTACCGGGAGAGTTCTAAACTTCTCCCGGTCACGCTCCGACGTCTCTTTCGCGAGCATAACTTGCTCTAAGAAGGAGACGATGGATATCAAACAAACCTAAAACTTTATTGAAATTCCATACTATCAAATTTCATTTTTTAGGTTAAGAAATATACATTCAAGCGAACGAATAAACCAAAATAAGCTCAATTTATCAGAGAATAAAACGGATTCTCATTTCGTGAGGAAGAAGTTTTTTCGTCACCACAAGAAGCACAACAGCGCAGAACATAGACTTGATAAGAAATTCGAAATACCTGAACATGAGTTCGAAGAAAGATTCGAACTAAAAGCACCTCCTAAGAACAATTTGAATGAAACTGAATCTCAGAATTTCAATGACTGGTTTTTTCGTGATGACGTAGAAGATTTAGATGCAGTTGAAACCAGTTTTTATAATAGCACTGAGGTAAGTACTAAAAATGTTTATAATCCAGTAGTGGCATAAGCTAGACTAAGTATAGGTTTTTTTTATAAATATGGCCTATGGATCAGAATCAAAACAAACATTTTATTGTAACTCTGTAGTCTCATTATAGAGGTCCTTAATGGCAAACAGAGTGTGTTTAGCAGTTGTCATTGAGTAGGTGTAATAATATTGATAGAATCATTTTAATTTTTACCCTGACAAGGTTACTAGACGACGTACTAGAGTTGTGTTGCAATTTATAAATTTAATCAGAAATTCGTATCATAGTTCAGTTGTATAACAAACGAAACCTCAATTATTATCAAAGTGAAAGCGACACGACTTATCCTGCAGATCACAATTGAATTTCACATACTGTAGTTGCTCCCGGCGTCATATAGATCTTTTGAAGAATCTTTTCGTATCGAAATAACATCACATAAATTTTGGTCACTTCGACAACTTGGTTTAACCAAGATAAATAGATAATTATATTTAACATTTTAAAATATATGAAAATTTCTAACAAAGTCATATTAAGTCGACAACCTAATCAATTTAATAGTAATTACACTGAATGTAGAGGACTGAGATATTCCAATTTGGGCTTGTCGCCGCTTTGTCAGCGATTATATCAATTACCGCCCATTATGTTAATCCGGTAATTGGAGTCCTAACTTAAAAGCATCCTCATTTGAGCCATCTGCATAATAACTTAAAGCTCTAATTACCTTTTTTTTTTTTTTTTTTTTTCCCGTGCGGAAATCCCCTCGGATACCACCTGTCGGTGGCATGTCGGACTCGAACCGACTAAAACCGCACGCCTTCGCCGGGTACTAATTGCCGGGGAACCAGGTATACCCTAGAAAGGAAGGCCCTGGTGCCAGCTCTAATTACCTAGTTTTGAGAATTTCGAGCACGGAAACTTCTAGCGTTTTAGTTATTGTTCGTTGTTAGTTTCATACAGTGATTTTATATTGTATTATTAAATAACTATTTCATAACATTGAGGAAGAATTGTATACTTTTCTATTCCATATAATACTACAACAAAAACGCACGTGATCGCATTATAATGGATGCTGCTCTGGCAGCTTAAAATACAGAAGACTGCTTTAGTATTTATCTAACATATCGAAGAATAGTGTTACATGGATTGTTTTCAAAAAATTGGCTCTGTAACGTGGCAAGCAGTTATTATTGGATATTTCTGTCTTAAAGAGACTTTTCACATAGAGAAACTTAGACCCTTTTTGCCCCGCATAACCAATCTGTGGAAAGGGTTATCGTCTGCGATATTTCCGGACCGATACGACCTTCACCCCTCACACCTCAATAAACTAGACCGACTTCTCAATAACTGCATTCGATTTGTTTTTAATCTTTGCAAGTATGACCATGTGTCTGCTTTACGTTCCCAACTGAAATGACTCCCGATTCGTCAACCCCGCAGTCTGCGCGCACTAACATATCTTTTTTCATTTCTTAATTCCCCATCGGTACCTGAGTACCTGGTTTCCCATCTCCGCCTCCTTTGCTCCAATCACGACCGAAATCTTCGGTCAACAAATAATATGCTTCTTCTTTGCCCCCCTCACACTTCCAACTTCATCAATTCTTCCTTCTATGTACAGTCAGTTCTTCTCTGGAATGCGCTCCCATTTGAAATCAGGATGTCGACTAACGGGATTACGTTCAAGAAGAAAGTACAAGAACTTCTACAAAATAAGTTGGCAGAAAGGTCACATCGCTAGTACCCGACTATGTATTTTGATATTTATGTATTTATAAATGTGTATGTTCATGTATTGTATGTGTATACTTGAGACCTCTATGTATATATGTAGTTATGTTATTTTATTTATAGTATTTAGTGTATATATATAAGATTTATCCTAAATTAATAAGTTTAATATAAACAAGTCAAATTCTCTGTTTTCTCGTGCACCTACAGCATCATTTTTCTACATCACCCGCAGGTCGACCGCAGAGAATGCCTTGGGCATTAAGTCCGCCTGTGTACAACTAGTGCATTAAGTTAAATAAATAATTAAAAATATTTGAGACTGAATAGATACGAGACAGAGATATTTAGTATGACGACGTAGTAAAGCCGTTCTTTTTAATGTAACTGTTATTGTTTGCAGTTAATAATGATTAATGAAAAGCTGATTTCGCATTGTTAAATTGTTTTTTTCTTTCATTAACCTGTTCGATTCTCTTCAACCTTGAAACATTTTCTCAATAACCCGAATGATATCTCTTTAACCTGTAAAATAGTTTTTTTGAAACGCAGTATCTTATATATGTAAAAGTTGTATTCCCTTGGAACAATTCAACATAAAAGAAATACTCAGAATGGATGTTTGTAGAAAAAACTCAATAGTTTTCTCAAATTGATATATTTCGAGCGATGCCACTTTTTTGAGAAGGACCCACCATACACCATTGAAATAATTTATTTCAAATCGTGACGCCATTGGCGCTATTTTTATTTAATACTAATTAATTATATTATTCATCAATATCATCAACAGCCTATAATAGTCCACTGATGGACATAGGCCTCTCCTTAGAAAGGAGATTTTGGCCTACTATACCACGCTGGCCAGACGGGTTGGTATAGGGTTTGTTTCAAGTTTTCTTTCTCTTTGCAGTGCTGTTGTCTTGCGTAGTTTACTCCCTCAGTCGGCTCTTACGACACCCACGGGATGAATAGGGGTGGTGACACTCTGTATTCTTAATCCGTCACCACACGGATGGATAATACTAGATTCGTTCCAATTATGGATGTTAAACATGAGCTAAATCTTATTATATGTACTCGTACATATATATAAGGTACATATATATATAAAGGTAAGTTCACTCTTAAAGGGAACTGTAAGCTAAGCAGATTACATGTGGAAAACATAAAGTGTAGATATATTAGTCATCTCATACTCACTTCGCCTTACTATAAATCTGAACTTCTGGTGGTTTCAAGTTTCAAGTTGTTTCAAGTTTTCCTTCTTTTTGCAGTGCTGTTGTCCTGTGCAGTTTGTTCCCTTAGTCGGCTCTTACGACGCCCACGGGATGAATAGGGGTGGTGACATTCCGTATTCTTAATCCTTCACCACACGTATAATAATAATAATAATATTTATTTATCGACTTTGATGAGACTATTCTGAATTCGCCGAAGCTAACCTAGAATGGATTAATTGTTTGCCATGAACCCTTCCAAAACCTAATGGAGGATATTATGAGAAACTTGTTTTTCGTTGCCTAGGCATACCATATGATCGTGTTTCAAATTAAAAGCGTAGGAATCAAAATCACACATCACAAACAGTACATGTTTTTCGTTCGTAGACTAAGAAGAAGCACCGCTCCATACGTGCAGCTACCAACCGCAAGGAAAGAATATGGGAAAATGGAGTGATACCGTATGAGATAGATGGGAACTTCAGTGGTGCCCACAAGTCCTTGTTCAAACAAGCTATGAGACATTGGGAGAACTTCACGTGCGTCAAGTTCGTGGAAAGAGATGCAGATTTACATAGAGACTATATAGTATTTACGGAAAGACCTTGTGGGTAAGTTATAAATTCCATATGTTGAATGTTTGATTTTACATTTAATATTATAATAATAGCCTTAATTTAACAGTCTTTCTTACAATATAAGTTCAATATCTTATTTAATTGTTTGACACCGGTATGTGAAGATTATCTTGCTCTCTAGCATTGGCCTCCCCTAGAGTTCGCCGTCGAATGCGATTCTGCTCTTGTCTTTTCCAGGTATATCCCGCTATTTTTCTAATCTTGTCTTCCCATATACGACGCTGTCTCCCTTTCCTTCTTTTGTATAGTCTGAGGCACCACTCTGTTACGTCCTTAGACCATTTATCCTTATTACTTCTAATCATATGTCCTGCCCACCTCCAGTTTAGCTTTTTAATACAATACGAGTAAGTAACATCTGTGATTCTAGTTTTCTTCCTTATAGTATCCAATTTTATTTTAGATTTTAATTTGATGTTAAGTATGCTTCGTTCCATACTGTGTTGGCAAGTTTCTAATTTATGTACGTTATGATTAGTTAAGCTCCAGGTTCTAAGGAGAGGCCTATGTCCAGCAGTGGACTGTTAAAGGCTGTTGTTGATGACGATGATGAAGCTCCAGGTTTGGCATCCATATGTCATGACAGGCAGAATACATGAATAAAATATTTTGCTCTTCGCTCTCAGTGGTAGGAGAGGGTTTTTCATGCCAAAGTGACTCTGTTGTTAATTTCTTTCGTGGTTAGGTCTATTGGAGATATGATCTGTCCAAGGTACGTGTATTCCCTCACATGCTAATAATTATAGGGATGCTTTCCGAATTTGACATTGTTTTGGTTTTCGCCGTTTTCATGGATAGTCCTACTTTATCACTTTCATACACCAGCTGTTCTAACATCTTTTGACAACTTTTTGAATCGTCGGAAATTATTATTAGATCGTCCGCAAATCTTTGTCTGGTTTCGTCGCACTCCGTTGTTTTTCAATCCGTAGTTATCCCACTCGAGGTGTTTAAACACGTATTCGAGAACAGCTGAAAAAAGGATCTCCTTGTCTTACTCCTCTTTTAATCGGAAAAAAAATCTCCATCTCTTTCGGTTCTCATTATTGCTCTCATGTTCTTATATATGTTGGTAATCAATCGAATATACTTTTTTCTCCACTCCTTGTATTTCTAAGGCTTCCGAAATTTTTGTGCGTTTTAAAGAGTAGAACGCTTTGTCATAATCCACGAACGCCAGGTAAAAGGTAATATCCTATTCCTTACATTTCTGGATTACTTGCTTTATAGAGTAGATATGATCTATTGTTGAGAATTCACTGCAAAAACCTGCTTGTTCTTTGGGTTGGTTTTCATCCAAAGTCTTGTCAAGATCTAGCAGTATTTTTGAGAATACTTTGTACACGTTTGACATCAAGTTGACGGGTCTGCAGTAACTACACTACTATTCTACTACTCGTCTTTCTTCCCTTTTTTGTGTAGTACATTTTATATAATCTGACTTTAAATTGTACACAAATGAAGCAGATGATTAAAACGTGGTGTTTATTTGAGGTCAAATAGAATACAGGCAGGGTTTTACTCTCATTTGATCTTGTTATTTTAAATTTCTCTTCCTTCTTCAATAAGGACAAAATTTATATTAAACGAACGTCTAGAATTTCAATTTTTGCTAAAGAGGGTACTACGAATAATAAACTGGTTCTTTTTACTAGCAAACGACAGTAGAGCTCACAAACAGTTTATATCCAAAGAGCACTATGACAACTTGACACATATTTTCCGAATAATGTCACCCACATTCAGGAATTGAACTGACACGGAAATGTCGTCACCTATCTAACGAACCAACACTACCTGAATTCGGGGCAATCGTCAGAAATTCTAACAAATATGTACGATGTGATTGTTCCCGTGATTCTAGGTTAGGTATTCAGTGAAGCTAGTGAGAAATGGTAGTTATTTGGGACGGAACGTCCTCTGTTAGTATTAAGGTTAACTGTAACATAAAGCGACTTATTACAATCCCTACATTATATTACAAATTGAAGAACACAAAAAAAAAACAATTTACAAGTAAATAATAGTAAGTCAAATTGAAATTGTTACAGTCAAAAATAAAAAGTTATGTTCACTGTGTAAAAACTGTTTAAATCATAAAATGAAAATTGTAAAAGTAATTGTTGAATAAATTTGCACATTTATTTAAATCGGTTCTATTTGAAAATCTGAACCTGCGAGTGACACAAATTATAATTTAAACACGCAATAACATATTATCAGGTTTCATGTCTGTGCATTGCAAAATCTTTTTCTATAGTTTAAATGAAAAGATTAAAAGTTTGTATAGCACTTTGTAGACCAGGGATTCCCAAAGTGGTGGACATCTACTCCTCTGGGCTAAAATCGGTTACCCAGCGATCGACATAAACGAAAACCATATTTTGGTGGTCTACGAGGTCCAAAAATTTACCCCTATTTAATTAACACAAGTTCTTATTTATAACTTTTTGTACAAGTTGTGTTACGGGTACCAAATTGTTATAAGACTGACTAATATGTCTAATTTTTTAAAACCAACGGCATTTTTTTTATATTGGTAAGTATTTTGTATCAATAGGAAAAAACTAAGTACTAGATAGTAGTTTTAGAGTAATTTGGCTATGGGGGTCTGAGGTATCAGTTCATTTTGGAAAATCCCTTTTTCTTTTCTCTTGCCCAAAATAGTTTTTGAATCCCTGCTTTAGACAAACATAATTATGACATGTGTTGTGAATGGCCGCCCTTTATACCTGCAAAAATGGATTGCAATATTGTTTCGACAATTATGCTATTCATTATATCGTAAATGTTATAGTACCAAACTACAGTACGACACATATAGTTCGACGACGTACCTGTACTGACAGGTAAATCTGACGAGTTTCATAACGTTATGTGATAACGCAATGCTACAATATAAAAACAGTAAGTTAGGAAAAATAACTCACGCCTACTTTTAGGGTTTTTCATTGTTTAGTGATGGCAAGATTTCTTTGTACTTTCTTTTATTTTAACAGACTATTTCAACATGAAAATATATCGATGAAACAAATTTATCGTACCTTTGCCAGTAGGATGTAGCGAATGAAAGTACTTACAAGTATTTCATATTATTTATTACTTAAAGATGTTCGACAACATCCTAAAAATAAGGAAAAAAAATCATTGCAATGGAAATAATATCAATAATATATAGTTTATAAAATGAACATACCCGGAACTTAATTCTTGCCAATGAAATAAAAAAAAAAGATTTTCCATAATTCAATTTTAAAGTAAAATACACATATAGTTTTTAATCCATTTTGACCATACCTTGCTGTTATATTCTGTGTAACATAAATATTTTCTTAGGTGCTGCTCTTTCGTTGGTAAACGAGGCAATGGTGCCCAAGCCATTTCCATTGGCAAAAACTGCGACAAATTCGGCATAGTTGTCCATGAGCTGGGTCACGTGGTCGGCTTCTGGCATGAACACACGAGACCGGATCGAGACCGCCACGTGCAAATCATAAGGGACAACATTATGCTCGGTGAGTGGCAATTTACCTATTTCGTTTCATTTTGTGTTGATCATTTAGATATTGTGAAAACGAAGAAAATTATAATACAAACATCTATTTATATATATATATACACAATCTTATTCGTTTGAGTAAAATTTATAAATCAAAAGATGGTGCGTCAAATGTTTAATGTGTCAGTTGCACAATGTTATAACAACAACAACTATCCGATTAGGTCTTCGCGAAACTTACTACTACCGCTTAAAATTCTTCGCAGGGGTTCAGCTGTGCATTTTTCTTATATTTTTTTTACTGTTAACGCGAACTGGAGTTTCCCTAATCGTTTACGTGATGTTATAGAATATAATTACTGATTTCTTTAAAAATTACCTCTACCTAACAGCACCCTACCACTAAAAAGTTCGCAACATAATGATATTGCGAAAGTAGGGTGCTGTATTTCTAACAGCGACTAGCGTCACCTTTTTAGCAAATTTTTAAATTAAATAAATTATAGTTACAAAAAGTAAAAAATGCTTTGTAACTAGCCCAACTAAAAGTAGAAAAAAAATTACGAATAAATAATTTTTCTTTTTGAATATAGAGAAAATTATTTTCTACTTTTTATTTTGGCTAGCGTATTTTTTTGTTTTTTCAAGCTATATAAAACGGATAGGACTGTTTATAATTTTCAAAATATATTTTTACTTTTTTAATGATGATTATTTTCTCATTAAGAGTAAAAAAGTAAGTAAGTAATATATGCTTCAGTACGCCTCTTGGTACGTAGCAAATAACGCTACCGTATTTTAGGTATGGAAAAAGATCACTATAATCGGCCAAATTTATTAAATTATTGTATCATCATCTGTACTTGAAAAGTATCCGAAGTTTCAATTTAATTCGACGTTTAGGAGTGGGTCAAAATCACGTTCAAAAATTCCGTTACATACATAGATACATACGAGTACATACCAAGCTAATAAAAGTTTTAATGAAAGTGTGCCCAATACCTTAATATTAACTTACTGATGAAATACATTTTACATAACCTGGAAGTTAAAAATTTGTAATTAACTATATTTCAACACCACACATTGCTTTGATTATTCCTTAGTTCTTAAAACACATTGAATGCGTAAGTCTTACTGTAAGAATACGTACTTGACCTGAATCCATAGCCTGTCTTCCTTCAAATATTAACGAGAGACTGTCACACAATAGCGTAACATAAGGAAATAAACCCCAAATTTATATTGTAATGATGACAGTCCATTACTTGTACAGAATGACACCTATGGCACATATGATCAAGTTTGAACAATGCATTAAAGTTTCAACACCAAAAATTTACACCGTAAAGAGAATAATATTGTTGTATTCTATACCTATAATCAACAGCCATTAGTAGTCCACTGCTGCACTCTCCTTAGAGAGGAGGTTTCTATACCTATATAATATAATGATAACTTATACCTTCACATATCTTACACACGGCAGTCTAGTCCCAAACTAGGCAGAGCCTGTGCTATGGGTACCAGACTGATAAAAAACATACCTTAATATTTCTATGTATCATACCATACATACTTATTATGAAAAAGGCTTAGAAAACTCAAGGAGTTCAGCATCAATTGAGCTCAAATTTTAAAACGATATACAAACCTCTTTAAATATTGTTTTTATCTATTTTTCGCATCAGTCATGTTCCTCAATTCTCATCGATGCAACCGCCACAGCGAAGCGTGGCGGGGTATAGGGAGTAATATATAAAAATGAATATATATATAATATAATAAAATAAAATATACTTTTGAATCAAGTATACAGATTGATTTTAAAAAGCAAAAGCTGTGCGTATATTGATTATATTACGGTTTTCCTATTGTGGCTGCCAAAGTGATTTAATGATCCGATGAATATAAGCACACTTAAATAGTAGATCTAAAACCACCTATTCCATTACGCTTCAGTGTGACAACATTCCCAATGACAATGACTTACACGTCCTATATTCAGAACGTCACGTCACAGCGCCATCTGACGCATAATCAGCCCGCACCGGAACCAAAATATGATCTTACTTCCTGTTTATTATCATATAGCTACTCTTTGATATTTCTTTATATAATAAGGTCAATGTCCATTATTATCAGTATCCGGTTAGCAACCAAACTAGGTAAGCATGGAATTAACTACAATCTAGCTGATGCTAAATGTTACCTTGCACTTTAATGTCTGCTCCTCAATAGCGGGGACACTATTTCAGAACAATTATAATAGGCGATCAATGTTATACGTAATCAATAAGTTGAAAATTATAGAATTATAAGCATTTTTTTTAATGATTAACTATACTTAATCCCCTACAGAATAAACTTCGTAATATATAGTTTTGTTATGGTTCCATATCGTTGCTTTCATCTAGATCTAGAAGATATTGCCATTACTCGTACAACAGTAGGTTTAAATTTACTACCTATTGTGTGATATATTGAATCGTTTTTATAGTAAAAGCCGAGCCTTGGCACTTCATCCATGTTTACAATCATCACTTGTCTCCTAAAGGTGTTAGCTTAGAACGAAACAGCCTATTCAAAAAACCAAAAAGTGTTTTTTTAAGTGTCTTCAAGAAGCGAGCCATCAACTATGCAACTTCATTCTTAATTGTTACAAAGGTCAAAAGTTATAGTACCATCTCTTGTTATAGGAGCAAAAAAATTATGTGTTATTTTCTATTTATAAGATTTGACCTTGACCGTAGGGGTCAAGGTCAAATCTTATAAATAGAAATATTAGCTCTAATAATATTACGACCAAAAATTTGACAGGTACGCAATCAACCGTCCCCGCTGGAAATCATTGGGAGAGGCCTATGTCCAGCAGTGGACAAGCATAGGCTGAGGTTATATAAGACATGTATAAGACAAGACACGAGCCTTATCTACAATAACACTATAATCTATTTTGTGTCATCTCTTTTTATCGCCATTTATCTGACGTTAAATGTGTTTTATTAGTACTTTTTAGTAGTCCAGTAGTTGCTGGACATATTCAACTATTACAGGTGATCTTCATTAGTTAATAGTTAAATTTCGGGCAGTTTAACTTTTAACTTTGAAACTTGAATTATTCATCGTTCTTCTTTTTAAGGCAAATTTTATATGCAACTAGAAATATTTAAAAAATAACTAATCGCATAAAATAAACGCAATAATTGAGATCAGTGTTATTATGTTACTAGGTTTATGTAATATTTTAGGGCACTTACCAACAATGTTATAAAGTTATGCAGGTTAACAATGACGCAGATCTATTGGATATTATAAAATAGCGAACACTCACCCACCTTCCAGAAGTCATAACTATTCGTATGGTACGAAACGAGTTAAATTTGAAGGAATAGAAATTGTAGCAATATCGTAGGAGCAACTTTGCAATCGTTGTTGTGTTGTGTTTCTTCAAATAAGGCATGTAGATATTCGTGTTATACTCTGCGGGTAATAGGTCGTTTCTCTAATTTCACAATTCGAAAGAGCCCAGTAATCGCGTTATAAACTGGACTATCATGGTATAAGCGACCGGCCGTTATGGCCATTACCCAATTACATAATCTAAACTATGTGCTCCACTTCCCAAATATGTAGGGTTATAGCGGTTATAGCGAAATCCTCTAGTGTTGCAATTACAAAAGAATGCTATATACCATTGTATCCTTTTAAATCTCAAAGGATATTCTCTATGTTTTGTGCTACTACACTAAGCTGCTTGATTATTTAAATGTTAACTGAAATAGACTTAGATTTTGGTAATCGCATCAAGTACTCGTCAGGAACTGCACATTTTTGCTCAATTAAAAGTACTTTAATAACCTTCTCTGTGCCCCTGACAATATGTATTTAAAATGACAATTAACTGAGTAGTTGGTCGTAAAAGTGTCAAATATATACAAAACATTTGAATTTATGAAATTAGTGAATATAATTTAATACAAATAAACTGTAGGAAAATTTAAAACATATAAATAAACTTAAAATAATTTAGGGCAAGAATATGATATAATGATGAGTGCGACATTAATTGTGTTTATCTTTAAGTGCTCGAATATTCACTGGAAAGTAGTCCTACACCTTCTCTAAAATTAATTAATATTCATAGACCTTTTTAACTTTAGCCCATTAATTTCAAATCAAACACTAGATAATTAAATTATAAGGTACTCCTAACGCATGCCGTGGCAAGCAAGTCACCACCTGCACCTTATATTTTTTTTAATTGCCAACATAGTGTAAATGTTGCTTCATAGTAAAAAACTTTAAGTTTTCCATGTAAGTATTGTTTTAGCAGCTCGTGAATCAGGTTCCTTAAAATAGCTAAACTAAAGCACAGACAACTAAAATACCAAGTAAACTTGGGGAGTCCGTTTGTAAACTTGCCAAAATCTTAGTCATTTCACCGGCATCTTTGTAATAGTTACATTGAAAACTGAACTGTAGAATAACTTAGCCATAGTGGAAATTTAATTAAACCTGACTAAGTTGAATAAGACAAACAAAATTGCACGTTACAGGGAATTTCGTACAGTGTAGTTTCTAACAATTTAAATCTTGTTTAAGGCTGCTCAAATAGTTAAAGTTCTTCTCATCGAAGTGAATCGTTGACGTGTTTGCGATAGTTATTTGCATAGAATTTCATTACAATATGGTCTTGAAAATGTTATGTTTCTGCCATTTTATAGCTTAAATTTCCATCTATCTATGGATTTTTTAATTCCAGTCCACCCATAGTCCCTCTAGTTTTTAACACAACTTGAGTACAGTAACAGTATTAGACCTTTACGGTACAATAAACTAAAGCCTTAAATATAAAAATCATTAATATTAAGTGATGATACGTACATGCCACAAATTTTGTTCGTATTATTTATACGAACAAAATTTATGGTATGTTGCTGAACGGAGAACAATTGAAATTTTATATTGTGTTAAACAACATAATATAAATTTTCAACTGTTACTGTAGCTTGTCACGGCTAGCTATTCAAATATAATAGCCTTTCACATAGTACACACGGGCGTCTATCCTCAACTAGGTAGAGCTTGTGCTATGGTAACCAGACTGCTGATAAACATACTAATATATATTTCTAAATACATATTATAGATAAGTTACATCACACAATTATTTTTCCTTTGTAAGAATCAAACCCACGCCCTCGGGCCTGGACCATGTTTTTTCAAGTCTTCCCTGGATTGACGACGCGCAAAGCTTAGGTCCTATCCCGACGGATGCCGCAGAATGCCCCCTGCCTGTTTGAAGTCTGATTGCAGTTTTGTCATCCTATCCTACCTCCTACCTCAGCACTTAATCTGCCACTAAAGGTCCCGACTCTTGGGCAGCCCGCGGCCACGTCGACGGTTGGTATCCCCACCGACGTCCTCCTCCCAAAGAAACTACTGCACCCACCTTTTATCCTACAGGTGGGTGCAGGTGCAGGTGCAGTAGACTTTTGTAAAAGTCTGCTTATAAACCCGTCCTGAACACGTTATGTTTGGGACTAACACTATCCCTTGATGTTTTTATCATCATCATCTCAGACGAAAGACTTCCACTGATCGACATAGGTGTCCCCCAAGGTTCGCCACAACTAATGACGGCATTGAACGGCTGCCTGCGACCTCCACGAGGTCATCGGACCACCTTGTGGTGCCTACCCACCCTGCGTTTACCAGTACGTGGTCGCCATTTGAGAACTTTGTGGCCCCATCGGCCTTCGTTTCTGCAGCCATGTTTTTATCAACTACATTAAAACTGCCATATTTTCTTTTTTGGGCGTAAACAAAGACATCCAAAGTGAATCTTAGTGGTAAATGCAATTCAATGATATTTGATAACGCTCTTCCTCTGGAAATCAGTATAGCACCCACGCGTCTCTCTTTCAAGACGAAAGATCGAGCTCATATTTTGGCCACCCTAGCAGATTTATCAGAACATTAAAGTTATATATTATATTATTTGAATATCACTTTATGTATGTACCTATGTGTATTTATTTAGTACGTATGTTTGTATGTATATTTGTATAATACTTAAGAAAATACCTAAGTTCTTATTTTACTACTGGTTTTCATTCTATAACTAGTATTTCTTTATAACTTTCAGTGATTTAAAATGTGCAATTAAATTTTATGTGTATTTAATTTTTTTAAACTTGTTATAGGTCAAGAATATAACTTCAACAAGTTGACAGAAGAAGAAGTAAACTCTTTGGGACAGACATATGATTATGACTCTATTATGCACTATGCGAGAAACACGTTCAGTAAAGGGACATATCTAGATACTATACTACCACTAGAAGTCCATGGAAAGAAGAGGCCAGAGATTGGACAGAGAGTGAGACTGAGTGCTAGTGATATCGCACAGACTAATTTGTTGTATAAATGTGCCAGTAAGTAATTTATAAATCCATCAGATGTTTCAAATTGCAAACAAAAAATAAATAGCATTAATATAAAGTCCTAACTACTAAAGAAAGACAAATCTATCCTTTTGTATTTACTTGTTCGATTCCCAAAAAACTAAGCTTGTTTGTACTTTTAATCAAAATGATGCCATAATTAAAAATAAACAGTTTGCTATTTTTGTATGAGTTGCACTAGTAATTTATTTATTAAAATATTTTTTCTCTCATATAACAACGATAAACTGTAATTGTTGGAAAGCAGACATATTAAGTAAGTGCAAAGTACTTTGAAGACATACTTAAAATGATATAATATGAATTAAACCTTAATTAAGACGTATATCTTACAAGGTGGGTTTTAGAACACGAATACGTATAATACAACTTTTAATTGTTCTGCGTCACATATGGTCCGATTCGACCGGAGCTATACCGCAGCCTTATAGAAAATCGGTATGAGGCAATTCTTTCTTTGGTTTTCACCGACTGAGTAAAGTTACCGGAGTCTAAACCACCGCCCTCCCTCTGATTATGGGGCAGAGGGGGAGACTTGAGTTACATGTGGTGTTCATGGGCGGTGGTAGTCACTTATCTTCAGGTAACCTGACCGTCTGCTCGTTTGCCCCTCGATATCAAAATAGTAAAACATACAATTTTTATGTTGTTGTAATGTTTGTGGTGCGCGTGAATTTAAACCGCATCACCTTGCAGTAGTAGGGTTTACTGCCTTGCCACATAGGTCGTTAAATAGTTCACTTACAAAAGCTTACATATATTTTTACCATCATATTTACTCCTGCGTAATATGTGGACGCAACCTGTTCACTCCAAAAAAACATTAACGTAGTAGAACCCTTAGATAAATGGTGCATAAACCGTACTAAATCACAAGCCAACGTTTATTTGAAATAATTATGATTTAATATGTAAACAGAATGCGGTAGGACGCTATTGGGCAACTCGGGGTGGTTCAACTCACCCGGATGGGGTACGGAGACACCCCCAGTGACCAGTGAACGGTGCGAATGGAGGATTGTAGCCACACATGGAGAAAGGGTGGTCCTCAATATTACAGGTAAGTCGATTAAGATTTAAAAAATCGTATGATGTGTATATTGTAACTAGGCGAAGGTACTAAACGGACATCTACATGAAAATGTACAAAACAGACTTGATAAGTTTAAATGAAGTAGTAAGATACAATGTAGTTTTAAATTCACAGGTTGGCAGTAAAAGGTCGCAGCCCATTGTACTAACACTTTTTTGCAGTATATTTTATATATTATGTCCTATCCATGATGTGTGAAAAAAAAGTACCTATATATCTTAATTTATTTCTGAGTATTCTTTAAGTTCTAGAGAAAGGAATCGTACATGAACCCACAATTACTTTTATTAATATATTAAAGAAAAAAACGTTGTTCTTAGTTACCATAAAAATATGACCTCCGAATAAGGTTTAACGAAGAAAAACGAATTATAAAATTTAAATAATTATAAAGAAAAATAACTAAAATTAAAAAGTGAAACCGTAATGTTCATGATATTAAAACTTTATTGAAATTTTCGTAAGAAAACATATATTGGCTTAGCTAGTACTTAGTATAATCATATGTTGTGCTCTACAGATTGTGATAATGTTTTTTTTTGTAATAAAACTGTTTTACAACTATTGACATAGAACATTTTTTTTCTATGCATCTAGTTATACGAACACATACAGTCGCATGATTCCCCAAACAGGTAGAAAGGTGTAATAACCAACCACATTTTGCTAACTATAATTTGGATACGCTCACGTAATAAAGGAAAACCTATTTATTACCATCGACCGACTAGTTTGGGAATTACAAATTGGAAAATTAGGATAGGAATGGAAATCGGAAGTGTAGGCAAGATGGCAGAGGAATGAAAAGGAAAGAGCGCCGAGTTTCAGTCATTTCATATCTATATATTTAGACTAGCTATTATACATATGTAACGTCAAAACGTATTCACGTATTAACTGTAGCTGGTAATGCACACGGCTCTAGAACGAGTGCAATATTGAAATCAAAAATTGATATATCCATAAAAGAAATAAAAATATGCTGTGATATTTATATACTACCTGTCTTCACCGTTTTCTAGAGTGTCCCTATTCATTTTAACAGCACTTAATATCTTGAACACAATATATTTACTAAAATACATATATAAAAGACTCTGTAAGAAAGTGGAGTGTTTGCAGAGAGCTTCTGCTCCCGAATTTCATTCAAGTGTTCTCTGCAAACGTTACTGAACACGCATTTTTCACTTGAATGTAAATACCTTTAAGAAATGGTAAATAGCGTACAGATATATTAGCACGTATTTTTCTTTCCAGTTTGTCGTGGCTAATGTATAATCACTGATGGTAGGGTTCGGAGTGTAACACCTTTATTCACTTACGTGTTACTTTATAACATAATGGCGCTTAAGAATGACCAAAAAAACTGCAATACATGCGTTCATAGTAATGATACAGAAAAAAAAATTTAACCAATGAGTCAGCGTCAAATGAAGTGTTAAACGACAGTTCAATGTTACTGTTTGTGAAACATTTCATGAATTGAATGTACATATTATATTGGAAATTTTATTTAATGTCGAAACATTGTAATTGACGAATTGAAGACCTTACTAGTTCTACATAGCTGTAAAAATTAACTCGATTTTATAAACTTTTGGTTTTCGATAGACTTAAAAAAGGGGTTAGTATTGGATTAGATGACGCGCACTAGTAATTTAACATGTGCCTAATTATTCTATATCAATCTGCCATATGTGGGTGCGATCCATGAGAGGAATTTGCCAATGGTCACCACGCTTGGCAGGTGGCCCCGCTTACACCCCACTGGACCCCGCTACAATCGAGGTTGTGTAAGAATACGTCTAAATTGGCCGAAATGGCCAAAATATCCAAATAGAAGAATTCGTCTGAGCTAGGGGGATGTATGGAAAGCTACGTCATATCTTGGAGTTGCCGGATAAAATTCGTAGAAGTTATTCGACAGAGAACTAGTGCAATCGAGATCGCACGGAGAATCAGTACTCTGAAGAGAAAGTGGGCTGGTCATGCCTCCAGACGGACTAATGGTCGCTGGACCGTGACTAGGCAAACGTAGCGTAGAGCGCCCTGCGGCTTGATGGACCGTCGACTTGAAGATAGTGACTGGCTGCGGATGGATGTAAACTGCCCAAGACTGGGATGGTTCCCACTCTATGGGTAGGCCTTCGTTCAGCAGTGCACGGCTGTTTAACTGGCGGTGATAGGTACGTTTACCTGTACCTAGTTCATTTGTTACCCCGTCATATTTGTGTCAAAAATATGGGGTTAAGTACAATTTTTATTACAATATATAATTAAAAAACACCTGACTATCTTGTGGGAGTAAATGGATAGATAATAATAATAACATGACACAACTCATAGAAGTTCGTCTGATCCCAAACTCGGCTGAGTCAGTGTTGGTGTAGCGGAAAAATGCAATGTCGATTCTCCCTCCCTCGGTCAAAGGCTAGCAAAGACAGAACCCTTCGTCCGCTCCCTCGTCCGAAGGATGGAGGAAATTTATGTGGATCTTCCGCCCTGTTAAAAAAAAACACAAATGAAGGTGTTCATGAAACCCACGACTTCTGGCTCAGCATTCAAGATCACTAAACACTAATGATACATTTGGAACATATTTTCTTAATTTCCTATTTTTTTTATTTTTTCCAAATACCTTTATACGTACTTAATAGAAAAAAGACTCAAAGTTAAAAAAAATAATTGTAGTGATGTGCCAAGATGTGCAAATCGATAAACCATTACGTCGTGTCCATAATTTCCGTTTCACTTGTCGCGACACTAAGCTACCCTTGTGGCGGAAACCTTCATTTATATCGACAAATTGTGTCTCCACAATAATCCTTTATGGTTATAGAAATATCTTTTGACGGCGGCATCTTGTTAAGCTTTATCTAGGAGACAAATGGGTATTTGGACAAGCGATCTAATCCACTTCATATTGTTAGTAAGCCCCTGTCAAACAATGGCTAGGAGCCAGGAGATAAATTTATAAGGACCTTCATTGTAATCTGGGGTTTTTTATTACATAAATATTAATATAAATCTACACTACAGTCAAAGTGGTCTTCTACAACTCATCTAGCCATCCCTCGTGACATGTCATAATTCTTAATACTTTGTAATGAATCAAGAAATACTGCAAAGTTTTTTTTTAGTAATATATCCTGTCGCGGGGGAATTTACAAACACGCATGAAACGGACACAAAGAACACCTAGACTCAGAACAACAATTTGTTCACACAAAGTGTCGTTCCATGTGGGGATCGGACCCACAACACTCAGCGTAGCGGCGTGGCGACCGTTTAATCCACTACGCCATGCGTGCTATTTTTTTGACAACTAATTTAGCAAACAAGCTAATAGTCCCCAGACTGTTAACCGTTACCATTGCCTATGAATTGTATGTAACTCTACCGCTCTCCCGTTCACTATTCACCTCAATATTATTACGGCACATCTAAAACATAATTTATTTAAGACTAGCTGGTACCCACGACTTTGTTCGCGTGGAATTCGAATTTAAAATGTTGTCAAGTGCTCGGGTTAAATTAAAATTTTATGGGGTTTTCGCAGGGGAAAAATAGCCTAAGTTACTCCTTATATAGACAGCTACCTTTTAGTAGAATATTATCAAAATTGGTTAAAACGTTTTGAAGAATACCCAGAATAAACAGATAGACAGACAAAAAATATTTAAACTGGTTTTTAGTCCGACCCAGGAATCGAACCCGAGACCTCAGCACAGCAGTCGCATACGCTACTACTGCACCACCGATATATTAAATAACTGCAACCATAAAACTGGCCACTTGAACTGAAACTTAAGTTAAGGAAATACCAGTATTCTACAAAAAAAATAAGCTGAACCAACAAAATAATCGACAATTTCAAAAGATGTTGCTTAGCATATAAAAAATCAAGAGATATAAGAACCTCCTCACCTTTTTGAGTCAGCTACTAATAAATCTTGCTTCCAATATCAGAGCAATAAAATGTAATTAAAAAATTATCTCGAGGCGGGCATTTCAATATGATATATTAACCTCTTTGCCTCTGTTTTCTTGCATGCAATTTTTTATACTTGTTTTTCTGGCAGGTTACGTAACTGATTCTCAAAGAAATTAAATCTAATTGTGACGCTGATTCTTTTTAAAAATGTAAGTATTCAGTATTTATCAATAAGTAGTACGTTATGGTGGGTCTTTGAAAATCATGGATTTTTATAATAAGAGCACAGATCTTTACAGAACAACAACTACAAAGCTGTAGATAGCTTCAAGTTTGTAGTGACTGTGATAGCAATTTGAACATGCATTTTCGGTCAAAATTTTGCTGCTGCCAATTTTTACAATGTTGTAGGGACTCTAAAAGCTCTCCAGCTACTGCACTTGAAAATTTTTTTTTTTAATTATGTCGGGAAAAGAGAAGAAATTCGTTTAATGACAGAGTCGAGTTAAAAAGGTCTCAGGACACTCACATTTTTATAATTAGTGTGCTCTTGATTTTATTTATATATTTAGGTAAAATACACCGAAAGTATAAAATAAAGAATGTATCAGAAAGAGCGCACCCTTTAAATTTAGAATCATTTTTAATTCGTGCAAGTGGCAACTCTAAAATTTGACAGCTGTCACCTATGTTTATTCCGATTTATATTATTGTTAAAAATGGAGCGCTTTTCGAAAGAACAACGCATTATAATTGTGAAAACTCATTACAAAAATGGGGGAAAATACGCTGAAATCGCTCGCAAACTTCGATAAATTTTCAGTCGAGAAAGTACACCTAATGTGTCAACCATTCGAAGAGTGGTCAAAAATTTGAAGAAACTACTTCGATTATGGATACTAAGAATCCTTTGCGTCAACGTACCGGTCGGTCTCTTGAAAACATTGCTGCTGTAAATGAGTGTCGCCGAAAATCCGAAAATATCAATTCGGCGTCGTTCTCAACAACTTCAAATTAGAACGAAGCAGAAGCG